TTTTCATTTTCCTATAGAACAGTATAGCTTTAAAAAAATGTAGATATATTTTCTTGTGTTAATATCAACTGTTTATTACCGGGGAGGAAATTCTGTATATTCTCTTGACGTAAAAAGGCATTACATTATACGACTTGTGCAGCCCTGCCATTTTCTCTATATATGGTTATGTAGACCTGTACCTGAATACACGGACCCCGCATACTGAATGTCTTTATATTGGACTACTTTTGCGGATTTATTGTCGGAAATCATGGAAACATTTTATTCGCCCTAAACTTTTATAACCGACTAAATTTTCATTTCTCTTCCTTATGATTTTGCTCCATTTTTATATTCCTGGGTTATCGTTCTGTTTTTGGCATATATGAGAACTTTTCTACTTTTGCAATACTACATACTTTAACCTTACATCAGATACATTGTATGTTTAAACGACTTTTCAGATGCAAAACAATCACGCCTATCCAGCAACTTGCTTCAAATTATCTTAGATAGTGCCAAAAAGCAAAAAAATCTTAACTTGGCTAAGCTTTAGACAAACTGATCTAGAGGTTTTTAGCTAGAATGTTGTATTTTTCGCAACTTATCCAAGAAAAATATATAATACAATCAGTGCGAATAGAAGTTCTGAGTTTCGTATCGCCGAAGATTGGGACTGAAAAATCTTGAAATTTTGCCCTGAACAAACGGAGATTCGCCAACAAGAACAAGAGCATTAAATGGAAGTTTCTATTTGCTGATTCAAAAGGTAAAATTACCTTTGCAAATTTGCTCGGTAGCACCCTCCGTCTATTTGAAATTCTCGTTTTAAAGTATGTCCTGAGAATATCTTATAGATAAAATGAAAAAGTAATTTTCTGGGAAGGAAATTCATGGCAAGCTCCATCCAATCGTTTCCACATTAATGTCAAGTTAGCGCTTGTCGACATCTGACCACCCCTTGCGCGATCCTTTGGTTGTCGATTATGCCTTTCGCAGATCTGGAGTTGCTGATTTCGATATTTTTCTACTTTCCATACCCCAAGGAGATTTCAAATTGCAGATTAGTATTCCCAACCAACCCATGCCCATGGCAAATTTCGAAATAAAAACCTGTCCATTACACCCTTAAATTGAAACTGAAATTGAGGGGTTAGTAGCCATTAAGAATAAAATGCAAGAACAAATTGCGTGGAAGATTTAGCGGCTGATAAAGCTTTATCTGTAAATATAAGCATAATTAAATATGTACCCCTAGCCATGGAACGTACCAAAGATAATCTGCTGCAATAAACTCCCAATCACAACTTTAAAACATTTAAAATCTCTATAAAGCCAATGAAACAGTGGTGTTACCGGCGTGTTATAATTGCAACGTTAATGTTTCGCTTGCTTTTAAATTGCTACTTTACACTAAAATRTTAAGTTATGGGCAGAAAAACCAAAGAGSTCGATAGCGTTTCAAAGGAAATATTGTTTATACATACAGGGTTTCAGACACAAAGGAACAAGTATTGGWAATAATTGCAGCAGAACCTTCCAGGGGTACTTAGAGCATTGCACAACCACTGACCCTTTCCCAGGMACCAAATAAATACCGGCTACATTCCTACCACGTATGTAAGATCACATTAAACCAATGGATTACTGAACACCGGTATAAATTGAGCAGGAGTTAATTAACCGAATACGAGAAGCTGATCGAGAAGAGTTCATAATAAGGTGATTAAACAGGTAATTGTTATTAGTTACAGACTCAAATGTATGTTTTTGTAATTTGTAAACAAATTAATAATTCGAGGTTATGAGTTTCGAAACAGGTTCTGTCATTCAAAGATTCCTGTTGAATGTACCGTTTATCCTTATCTATCTTATTGTCACTTCCTCTATTTATAAATGGTTACCGGAGTTTTAAATAATTACGAAGCAACAGGTATTTACGTAATGTTACTTGAAAAACGTTGTTGCCTTTTTTCGAATATCGTTTTTTGCAAATTTCTCAGTTTTTAACAACAATTAAATTTTTTTACTATTCTTTCTGTACTCCTAAAACACCGCCAGCCAACACCTCCAGAGGAATGACGCCAATTTTGAATCACCCTGTATACTGGGCGTCCCGTAAGCAGACGATCAAAAGGGTACTACGAAATGGTTTGGATCAAAAGACGATCTGAGCTAACTTTTACTCAGAAAAACTGTCTGGCTCCCCTGCCGTTTGTTGATTGATTGGTCAAAAATTTCCTTCGCGACAACTGAAAACTCTCTGTGAATTTGTTCCTATCTAAGACTCATGTTTGGATGAAGCGTGTGGAAGTGAGGAATTCTGGAATGTCTTGGGACAAAACTGCCAGAGCTTTTTCTTAGGGAGTTAGAACCAACTGATTTTGTTTGAGTCGATGCACTAATTATTTTTGAGCATTTTTGGGCTCTTTGTAAAATCTTGTGGCTTTCATAGTTTTTGCGCAAAAAAATCGAAGATAGGAAAATGTACGCCACTGATAATGTAATCTAACAAGAGAATACGAGATGTGTCATGGGCGTGTATGCGGATTTACCACGGAGAGTTGGTGTTGTAAAGTTATCAGGAAGTCGCGTGTTAGACGCGTGCATGATAATGCTAAATGGCAATGTAATGCGATTGTAATGAGTTAGACATGCGAATCACATGTGTTGACACGCATCCCTTCAATGCGACCATAAGCATTGATTGGTAATATTGTTTGAATTGCAATCTAATAGCTACTTGAGTGCACTAAATAAATTCCTGCAAATTTCCCAGGTTCCGTTTATGATTTGGGCCCACATGTTCCGCTTATCTAAACCTGAACACGACTACAATCATAAATCAAAGAAAATTAAATATTAAAAACGTTCAAACTTTTCCACGCGCGCTCTAAATTTAAAATGAATGTAAAGTAGATAATTCGAATTTGAGAAATTTGAGCCATTCTTTTCGCTAAGGAAAGAAATTTAATTTAATAGTGTCGACACATGTGCTTGTCGTTTCAAGATTTGAAATGCTATTTCCATATTTTCAACTTGTCTTAGTCAGGGGTCTTATTGAATGCAGAGAGAACAAAATATGCTGACTTTGCATATTGATGACAAGTTCGATGTATTTTTTGTGCCAATTCAATTTAATTAAAATTAAACAATAAATAATTTGCTTGCAATATGACAGGAAATATAATACTAGGAAAACGGGAAAAATTCACATTTGCCTCACTGTTTAAATGAACTGTTGGGTCTGCTGGACTGTTTAAATGAACCAATATGCGACATCACGGGCCTCAGGAATCACTTCACCCCCTAGTTTGGCTTGGTATTTACCATAACTATATCTGATTTATTATTGGTTGGGATAATAGGGATTAATGCAACTTTCCTTAATGAACGCGTCAGAAACACTTGCGCCCCATATCGGTCGGTTGGATATGGAAAAAACTGTATGTTTAAACATCAACAGATGCTCACTTTTTACTGGACGTGTATATGAATTGTGAGCTGTTTTTAGTCGCTTAGAAGTACTATATATTTTTATCGGAAAATCCATCAGCCGCCTTTCTTTCATGCCCCTACACAGAGTTAAATCAATAAAAATATTTTCCGATTAACATTTTTTATGAGAAATTGTGATTCCGGCATTAAGGAGGAATTGTTACAGATCTACGACTGAAAAGCGAACCGCGCACAGATTTTAACTGTCCTATTTTGAAATTCAGATTTTTCTCCAAATCTTTTCATATACTCGTGGCTGCTTGAACTCTAAATATATTCCTTTCAATTCGTATTTAGGAACATTCGGTTCCAATCTATTCCTTTATCTGGAAATTTATGCATTAGAAAATGGTTATTACGTGCAAGCGCGTTGCAGCTCACGATTTCAGCAAAAATAAGCGAAAACATATGCATTCTTAAGGAAAATTACTTATTCAATTAACACGAATATTATTATAAGTGATTTAAAGTAATAAATTCAACAAAACATTTATCACAACTTTTTTCTATTAAAAAAAACTTGGAAATTTCGAAGCAATTTCTTTTCAAATCCCTGGCCTGATTTCAGCAGTAATAAAAGTAATCCATCCTCGCTTCAAGCTCATCTAAATGCTGTAATCCCCTGAGCGGAGGCATTTTTTTCTTGTCATTAAGGATCTGAAATACGTATCTAAAATCCAGGATAATTGGTAGGATTTTATATTTGAATGACCAGTGAACATTTTTTGCTAATTCTGGTTTGAGAGACCATACTCTAACACGCAGAAACGTACCATAAGGCATTAATCATCCCGAAATATTTGCTAATTATCTTCGGTATATGCTCTTTTGCTGTATGTGTAATTAGTTAGATAATTTGGATGTGAAGGTATTCAATGGAATAAAATACACTAACTAGCTTTCCTTTTAAAATGGGATTTTTAATAAAATAGCAAACTAACCATTTTATGGCTCAAACTAGCAACTAGGATTTTTTTATCCCGTGCCTACAGCTATTTTTTCAAAAATGAGGAAGCATTTTCTCATTCATCAGTTGTGTAGCTTTTAGGGTAGCATCTGATTGGTTTGTCCCAAGCATCTACGCCACCAAAAAAAAACCGCAGTTTGAAAACATATTTTGAAACATGCTTTACGACACAAAAAAATTTCTCGTGGTTAAACCAGTCACGGTTTTTGTATTTGCATATAGAACTTTGTATTGAGTTTTCTATTCTTGAACGCGGAAAACGCTTGTGAAGTTCTCCCATCTCCCACTAAAAATATTACAAAATCATACGTATTTTTGTATTAGAACACTTCTTAAGGCATTGTATTGTAAACATCAGCTTGGCTGAAGCGACAACAGCCACGTGACCAGGGCAATAACTCACATGTTAGTTTCTAATAAATAAACCATTTCCAGCCAAATATTGGTTTACAGTAGCGGATGGACTTAATGAATAAAAAGTGACGAGATGGTGGAGGATCTTACAATTAAAAGGCGCATTCGCTTTTATTTCCGTAATAAACAAACTCCATTATTTGCTGGTAGATATTATTCTATCCAATTTTATTTAATACACATAACTTTATAAAACCATACAATTTATTTAATACAACATGGGACTCATTTAGTTTACTATACTTAAATAGTTCGTTTAAAAATCTAAACTCTTCAACGGGACCGAAAAGCAACAAGACACAAAACAGTGGTTTTAGAGCTTTTTTACACGAGGATACAGTTGCACGCTGATTGCGGGATACTCATCGCAGACTTGTAGCAAGACAGCAAAGTAGAAGCCAGGTTATCATAATTAACAAGTCCATAGGTCCATAAAGGCCCATAGAAAATCGACCCCGGAAGTCGTAAAATTGCCAGAGCGACTGGAACTCACGGCTGATCGAAATTCAGTTGCCGAAACTGATTGTAAAAAGTATCCCCGTGTGTATGGTTCCATAAGGCTGTATGTTAAACGAGTATCCGAAGCAATAGTTGCCGGGTAAAAGTATCCTCTTGTAAAAGGGCTCTTACTGAGTACCCATTTATCACAGAGCTTCCTTCAATTCAATCATAACCTTTTTAATCTGTTCCAGCTCCTTCAATAGATCATCAACTTTGCTCAGGGGAAATATCGCTGATTTGTTAATCCCACCATCTATTTCCAGCTGGAGCGTCACATATTGATGTTGCGAGTCTGTAACTGCTGCCGCTGATTCCAGGGGTTTCACTAAAAATCAGTCTTTCAGCAAGCCGTAGCTTACTTTTCCAAGCATATTAGAACTTGCCTTTCAATGACTTTTGCCTGAATGACGCTGATAAACTTTCAATGTATTGATCAAAAACCCTTTTTAATGCCACGCTGTGCTCTCGAGGTAAACCTAACTGCTGAAGTTCGGATTGGAGAGAATTGTTGTCGCAATTGAACCGGGTTGCTGATGAGAGCAAGTAGCTTACACAAGCTATACATGACTTCAAATCGATATCAGCATCTATGAATAAATCAAGTAAATGTTTAATAAGGTGTAAATGTTCCCAACCTGCCTAGCTTAGAGTCCGCAAAGAGTTTCTCAACCTTCTCAACCTGCAAGAGGAATATGAAGCTGCTTAATTTGGCTCGAGTTGGTGTGCGATTTTTAAAATTCTTACCTGAATTGGGGGCGAAATTATCCCTTGACAAACTATTTGCCCCAATAGTTTCAGCTTAACTGAAGACAGCCGAGACAATGTATATATTTCCGACAAAATCCAGTCAGGGCAGTCAGCATCGCCATTGAACCGAAATTTCTGTTGATGTAGAAATAATGAAGAATATAATATAATAAAACTAACAAATTATCATTGGAAAAAACATCAGTGGATAAGGAAATTGGCAGCATAGAAAAAAGAAGTGTAGTTACCATTTTAGGTAATTGCGGGGCGCTGGATAAGTTGAAATGCAAAAATAATTAATTAAACATAAGAAAACAATACACCTAATTTGCACTGAGACACAAGGTTATATTTGTTGACATTGACTGGTTCCTGGGTATTTCAAGAGATGGTGCCATTAATATTAATTTTAAGTGGGTTTAATTTATGTAAGGATCCTCTGACCTAAGTAAAATGAACCGATACAAGCTCGATAAACACAAAATAAGGAATTATCAGTGGGTGTAAAGGACTTGAGGAAGGAAAATATGGAAAAAAATATTGTAGAAATCTGCCCTAATTTTCAGTGGGTTGAACACGGCAACACTGTTTTGCGATTAGTTTGTTGGATACACGTCACGCGAAAAATAATTCGTGGCTGTTTTGGAGAGTGGTTATGTTAATCTTCATTCATTGGCAGAATATTTTAATTTCAGTCTGTTACACATAAAGGTAAGTGAATCACATCCATAAAACACGTTTTCTCCCTCAATTACAACCCTCTTTATTCAATGTTTATGTTCATTCCAGGAACCATGTTCAGGAAAATAGGAATTTTCTTCGCCGTATTTGCTGTGGGGCTCTGCCTTGATGACAAGGCAGGAGATATTCAAGGGGCCAGACTACTGGTTTCCAAGCAGATTTTGAACAAATACTTGGTACAGGGCAAAGATATTGAAGTGCGATATGCCATACACAATATTGGAAAGGCCCCAGCAGTCAATGTTCAACTAACTGATGTCGGCTTCAATTCTGAAGCATTCGAAATTGTTGGGGGACATCTTTCTACTAAGTTTGCCAGAATTCCACCAGAATCCAACTTTACCCACGTGGTTGTTGTGCGACCAAACAGATTTGGATTTTTCAATTTCACCAGCTCACAAATCAGCTACAAACTTTCTGATGCTCCAGATGCTAAGGTAGGAGATAAACACCACTGTATTTTACATATGTTGACTTCAAACAATTGTTTTCTCGATGTTTCTATAAGTGAACTGTTCTTTCCAGACCCAAGTTTCCTACAGCAGTGAACCAGGTGAAGGAGGAATCGTTGCTTTCCGGGACTTTGACAAAAAGTTCTCAGCCCACTATTGGGACTGGTTGGCATTTGCTGTTATGACTTTGCCGTCTTTGGCCATTCCCGTAATGCTTTGGTACAACAGCAAGAGCGCTTACGAGAAGCTGAATAAACCTAGCAAGAAACACTAAAACTCATCAAGAGATCATTAATTTATTTTGGATGTGTTAAATGAAGAGTGCCTGATTATCTAAGTAAGAACAGCATCAGGAAAATACAGAATTGCATCTGCCGATATTGAGTAGCTACTTTTATTTATAACTTGTTACTGATTTTGTTTTTCTTGGCTACGTTCTAAGGCGATTTTTCGTGTAGCCAAAGCTCAAGTCTAATAAGTCAACTTGAATTAATAACATGGCTAGTTATACCTTTCACAAGTTTTTGTTAAGTAGTTTTTCTATGTTTGTATTCCAAACGTATTTTCAGTGAACAATAAATCGTTTTTTTCTACAATTTTGTTTTATTCACTTCGATTCTAAGTTTTAAGAGCAAAAATTATAAAGCTGGTGATTTATAATTTTTATGATATAAGGTGGAATTTGATCATGACTTCACAGTTCTTCAACATGCAGAATTAATTTGAAAAAAATAAGACAAAGTTGAATGTTGTTTGATTTTTTAATTTTATACGTACCTGCAATGAAGTCTTCGGCGAATTTCACTACATTTTACAGGGATGGGACGTTCTAGCAATAATGAATAAAACAACATTATACACGTTACAAAATTTATTAGTTTATTTCTCAGTACAGGTGAATAATTATAAAATTACAACTAAGCTATCAAGATGGTTATTGATGTTGAGGAAAACATAGAGATCGAGCACATGAACCAGTGTGGAAGTAACTGTGCTACAAACAAGTTTCACCATTACGTCCCCATGAATCTAAGTCTCCACACTTGTTAGTAAATGAATCTCGAACGTGTATTTAGATAGATGAAATAAGTAACTTAAATAGATATGCCATCTTTTCAATGCTGTTTGCAAATAGCAAAAAACGGCTTATATCTAGCTGATCCTAGAACAGCTGTAAATATCTCTCATAAATAAAACAGTTAACTCTTACTTAGGTAGAAAAAAATTGCCAGTCTCATTCAGTCGGCGGCTCTCAAAGCTACAAAGAAACTAGTAATGAAACGAAACTGAAATTCTTATCAAGAAAAAAACAAAATAAAAGATCACTGACGTGATGTGTTGTTAGAAAATCAACATTAAAAATATAAAATGAATGGGACTTTATAGCTTTGCACACCTGTGAGAACTAACGTTTAACGAACTTTAATCGCAGGCACAGGCAAGTGCACACCGCAACGGCTGATGATAACTCCAACTCCTGCGCCCACCAGAAGGGAAAACAGATTAGAGAGGACCATAATGCAGATTCCCTTCTTGGAGAATAGAGGAGTGTTCCCTATTTTCGCGTAGCGTAGACTGAACCTGTCGTTCCTGTGAGGAGCACGGAAGCTCCATGACTTTGGCGGAATGGAACTGGGTCGGCTGCTCCAATCAATGGGGAGGAATTCCTGGGACCACCCCTCAATGAAATAAAGACCTGCTGACTAACATTAACCATACCATACCTCTCTAGACTCGGAAGTCACGTAGTAAGATTGCCATTCCAAAGCCAGGGTAGGCCCCTGGTTTACGGGGCTGTTTGGCGGCGACTTGGGGCTGCTTCTTGGAGAATCTCTGCGAGAGCCAGCCAATGAGTCTCTGCATGAAGACTGGTTGGACTCCTGTGCTTCTTTGAGTAGACGCAGATAATCATCAGCAGTCAATTGTTGAGTGATTGATGCCGGGGTGCCACCGCCTTGAGGGCACAATCCTCCGCCAATTTCCACCCACGATTCTGAAAAATAACCTAAAAGTTATGTTTAGTATGGTTTGACCATGACTTTGTTATTCCATGCTAGTTCTTTAAACAAATCAACTGATGTCGGTAAATTAAACTCAACGAGTAGTTGTTGACGATGATGAATTTTAATTCTGCAAAACAAACTTGGCAAATTGTTGCTCACATAGGTATAATATGGACTAAACCATACGTATGCGAAGACAGCAGTAGGCGCTTGAAATTGTTCTTGTTAGTATGTTGTAAATATTGGGATTAATGTTTGTCAGACTTAGAACAATGAAGAACAAAGAAATAAAGCGGTCATTGTCGCAGCCATGTTCATTTACACTCAAATTTGGTCATTGAATGGGTAATGCGTAGAATAGTCAAATAAATACCACAATGAAGGAGAGCATATTTCGCGTGGTTCATTGGCATGGGACGTAGATCGTAAAAGCAGCTTTAAAAATAAACGCGACGTCTTTATGGAAAATAAATAGAATATGACAATAAAAATATGGTCGTAAACAAGGAGTCAGCAACATGTACTTACCGCCTAGAAGATCATCGGTTCCGGTGCTTGATTTAGTGGACGACATATTGGAGTCTCCGCAAAACTTTACTGCTACGCTAACAAACGACTGCAAAGTTAAAAAATGCTAAACGTCGAAGATTTTTTAGCAAAATTTAGTGTTGAACAACCAAGCGTATGGACTACGTGACAACCCGCTCAATTCACGCAAACAACAGCGACGCCAAACATATGCGCCAAACAACTAACGGAAATTGTGGGAAAACAAATGAACGTCAACGAATTTTCCAGTAAAGCTTCCAGCGTTGTCGGACTTCACAAGCATTTGCGTTCAACTCGTCTAATGCATAAAACGTTTAATTACATACCAGATTAACTGCAGAACTTCAAATCAAGCTTCGAACACTGAAAATTTGCAAAATGTTGAGATATTTGCCGCGAATTTTGCTTGAAAGCCTCGGTCGTAAGTGAGCAACAGCGTAATGTACACAAAAAACAGGGCGCCAAACAACTACAGGATCAATCAAGGTCAAGAAGTATTCCAGTGATGCCGGACTTTTAAAACAGCGGTTATTTATCAAGAAAGTGACAAAGGGGTAAGTAAAAATTGACAATAATCTTATGGAAAATTTATTGTTTTACAGTAAACTTGAAAAGATAGAATATGAAGAAATGACGCGAACTATACAAAAAAGATTGCTTTAAATAATTCTTAAAGATTTAAATACATTTTCAAAAGTTTCGCATCCTATTTTAATTGAAACTTTGCATACCTACATTTAATTATATTTATTATCTAGTTGATCTCTCTAATAATAATTCACAATAAGAGACGCGTACATGTTTTAAATTCCATTAACTACACTCTAACACCTTGTAAAAGGGTCATTCATTTAGAATATAAGAGAAAATGTTTGGCCTCTCATCTTTCCTATCAACTAACGCTTCAATTGAAACACTAACCATAATAACAATAATAAGAATAATCGCCTTACATGTATACATATCTCTAGGTTACTGATTGTTGAGTTTTATTGTAATATCAATATAAATTATAGAAAATATATACACCTCTACACATGAAGATTCTATCTACAATAACTTAACAACTTATAAGTACTCATATTCAGCAAAAGTCACATTTCCTATTTTTAACGAGTTGCCTCTAGGTTTAGTACCCAATTAATCAAAAATTCACATATAAAAATAAGGCGACTATGGATTCAAATCACTACTTTATTACATAAAGTTGAAACTTAATCTGCTTTTGAATGCAGATGCCAAACAGTCCAAAGAAAAAACAGATTTATTCCAAGAGCAACGCCCTTGATAAACAAACGTAAAGGGCCCATACAAAGTAAAACTGCCGAAAAATTCGTCCACAACACTCATAATTCGCTTGACGGCTTGAGAATTTGTAAAACTCACTTACGTGAGTTAAGTTTTTGACTCAATAAATTCATCGCCACATATTGATGAATAAAATCTTCATAAAAAGTACCAAAATTGAAAAAATAAATTAATTGTTCGTCTGCTTCGTAATCGTTTGAAAACAGAAAATTGGGTTGCAATACAGATTCTCCAGTGTCAACCGTTGTGTACCTACTTAGGTACCAATAAAATTGAATATTTACTCTGTTTTCTATACTAACATCTTTTACGATCTTTGTACATTTACTGTTTTGGCGGGTAGTTGGGTTGCCATCACGGAAAGAACAAATTGTGGGCAGTTTATTCGGACTTTGATTGTGCTACAAAGATTTATTCACTGGTCAATACCAGAATTTGGAAATATCCCGGCTGAATGTTATTAATGAAATCAGCTTTGTATCATCCAACTTTATATTGGGTCATTTTGTAGAAACTTGATGTTGTAGGTTTTGCTTTACCTACGGCTGATTTTCTCTGATGTTCCCTTAACATAAGCAATCACCAAGAAAGTAAGAACTTTAAAGCCACTTCTGAACAGCCGAGATATTGTGATCAAACAATGTTTTCAAGACAATGAAAATACGAACAAACCATTAAATCTCAGCAAAAAAAAACAAGTTATACTCCAGTCCAGCAAATTCAACCTCCAGGTCCTCTTCGAATTGATGCTTGAGTCAAATGGGCAAAATATCTACTTAATTATATTGGTCCTAGATCCTAGATTTACTGGAGTTCGTCAGTTGTGAACAGCACGTCTTGTATGACTAAAAACTAATCGATTTTACTAGAAATATCACAAGATAAGGGCTAATAAATAACTCCGGTCCATCGTATAAATACTCAGATTATTTCCTCTTTGCCGATTTGGTGCTTGAAAAGTTTTCCGCAGAAAAATAGTATATATACTGTTGAACAAACTACGACAAAATATGTCTGCGTGTTACCTAAATACTGCGTGAATAGTATAATAATTATGATGACAACTTCGTTCTAGGTTTAATGATATAGGTTGTCTTTAGCCTGTGAAATTAAGTGATTTCCAAGTATCAGCACTGAAAAACTAGCCCATAAATATGTTCAGAAACAACTCAATTCATACATTTTATCAGGAACTATCTATTTTTTCAGATTTCAATGCTTTTTCTAGACTTTGTCAAATTTCAAAGAACTAACGTATTTTATACAACGTTTAGAATTTATAGTTTTCCTAGCTAATAACATAATTAAATTTATCTAGTAGGTACTTTAACTAGTGCATTCAAGTACTTTGAAGACACAATCTTGATTTGTAACATTATAATTATATCGATGTTTCAAATGTTGAATGACATTAATATCTTACGATTTAGTTTAAATTTAAAAGGTTCCATGCTTATTTCTAAACCAATTTAATACAGTTAAAAACTCCACTTGAGATACATGGACAGAACATACGCAATTATATCTAGGTATTCTATTCACTAAGGTCTTTCTTCTCAGGTGTCTATATTACAGTGAGGTACCTAAACGTACAATTTCCATAAGTAACGTGTTAAATCATCGATAAGAACTAAGGAACAGAGTATGCACGACAATGTAGTTACGAATTCAATTTAATCTGCTTAAACAAATTCATGCAACTACTAACAAAACGACAATTTTATATTTTTTCTAATAGACTTTATTATCTGGGGCATTAGTAGTTATCTGAAATTGTCTAGCATTAAACGTCGTAATTTCGATGATAGAATGATCATGTTTTAATGAGCCTCTATATTATATATCCGGCTTAAATGGCAAAACGTTGTTAAAGGCATTTTTCATGATATGTCTAAAAAGATGCTTCTACAAGATACGTTGCATCCATACCACTGCCAGTTTGGTTTGCTTGAGCAGTAGATGCGGCAGGCATGTACTTTCCACAGCTGTGTTGGTACCTACAGAACATACCAAATACCATCATTTCTTCATGACAAGTTTCAGTGGTGGTAGGTAGTTTAATACTTCAACTTTTTTTATTTTGAAAAGAAATTCCGCGATTCTCCGATATAGAGAATTAAAAATATCCAGAATCTACCACCAAAGCGACAAGTACAGTCACCTACTAATAAAATAAAACCCGTGCACGATAGAGATGCGGTAGATATGCCACCTCGTGAACCTTGAATCAGCAAAAAATATAAAAAAACTGCTTTTTGATATTATTGATTGAAAAATAATTACGACCATCAACTTAACTTTTTCAAATAGAAACAAGTATTTTTTATTTCAATTTTAAACTCTCCATTGAATGCTAATTATGATTCAGGTATCGTCTCCTACAGGACTCGATTTTTCCAAAATATCAAAATACTTAAAAAATTAATCATATCCAGGACGATTAGAAGACATGTCAACATTTTACTTTTGCCGTTTTCGAAATGATGTGCGTGCCATTACTTCGGAAATTGATGAACATTTGCAAGACGAATTTATTGATCGCCTTGGATATTGCCAAGCCGTAAACGAGACGCATTTTGAAAAAAATATTTCTTTGTTGTTCTGTTTCTTGAAATAAATCACTCCTTTCCAGGACTGCACACATTTGAAGGAAATCGTCCCTATTAATTATTGATAGGTCCAACCGTAATATCCTCGTTAACTGTTGAGATTAACCACATCTTACTTGAATCATCCTTCGAATTCAGTGTTAAATCAAAATCTAATTTGAGGAACCGCCTCTGAAAATTTGTTATTAAGCCTACATTCTAATAAGGTTTTAGTAGATTCATAAGAGACTGCAAGAGCTTTTTAATTTTCCACTCCACCGAACTGAAAACTGCTCCTATCTGCTCAACTGTGATATATCCTTGGGAGTTGAATAGTACAAAATATTAACTGGCTTGGCTTGGAAGTACGAATAGCGATTTGATACGAACCTTCTTGGACAGCAGCGCCCACAGCATGATTGAAATAGTCCAATGGAGACTGCCGAATGAGCAGGGCTTGCTAACGGCGATGGAGATCCTGGCCTCTTTGGGTGTCCATTGTAAGGTACCTATACGATAGGGAAATCAGTTCTAATTGAAAAATCGCCGTTTCGAAATTGCATATTATGATCGTGTTTCATGTAAGATTGCGTTTGTTACGGCGTTTCATACGGTGTATGTTGTAAGTATATTTTGTGAGTGTGGATTGAGGCAAGCCGCGCTCCATTTACCTCTAGCTCAACAAACTCCCGATCGGTAGTCTTTTCCAGACATCGTAAAAGATGGTGATGTTGCAACTCGAAAATATCCTCCTCCCGATAATTGTCGTCCAGTTCGATCCCCGATTCTTGAGCTGCAAGGCGAGCTTCAGCCGCCTTCTTTTTACTAACAAAGGCTGCGCCCGATGAAGCTTTAGCAATGCGAATGCGTGCAAGACGAGCTTTCTGGAATTAATTAAATTTTACTAATGTTTCTGTAGCATGGGATTTTTTGGGGCTTACTCTTTGTGCTTTCCGCTTATCTGCCCGTTGGTTCTGATGGTATATTCTACTAAAATTAGATACTATTACTGGTACTGGAAGAGCGATTACCAGCACGCCGCTAAGGGAACATACACCACCTACAATCTTTCCAGCTATGGTGGCAGGTACCATATCACCGTACCTGAAAAGAATGTGACCATTAAAAATTTTATTATGAATTGTTAAAGCTAAAACAATTTTTCGCGGAAGTACTTGACACGATGCGGACCATCATCGAAGTATAGATCGCCATAGTAATTGACTCTATGACACGCCATTAATATTGGCTTTAATAACTTATATCAAGTGATTTATTCAGTTATAATGGCGCATATTGGAATATAAAATAACTCGTCCTGGAGAAGCGAGGTTAACAGCCCGCAGTTCTCACTCTAAATTGTGTTGCACATTTCCGGGTTAATGAGTTTATGTTCCAATTAGCATGTAAATTGAGGCATTCCAATTTCACACATGAGTTTGGTTTAATTATCTGTACAAATAAAATAGTATTTTCAGTCTCAGTCTAAAGTATCATTCAAAACCATAATAGGGTTGTCGGCATGTCGCAATTACATCTACCAAAACTCATTCACCCTGTTTAAGGTAAACGCTAGGGTCAATTTACGGTTACAGCGGTCGCCTTATTATTTTATTTTTACCGCAGGGAACAAGCTCAGCAGGGCTTCAGACAATTTAGCCTAATGTAGCCATGAGCCATGAAGGGTTGTCAATCTTCAAATTAGGGATAATCTCCGCTGCAGGACAAATCCGGTCCACACCCTACTTTGACCAACTTTTATTCGCTGTCAGGTTCAGAGAGTTATTTTCTGAATGTTGTGTTAGCTGATTAAAAGCAAACCCAGTGTCCCATAGTCTTCTAATGAAATGTTTTATAACTCCGGCAGCAATTCGAAATAAAGACTCAGTCGTGTGACGCTTTTGTGGGGCGTTTTCTTAGATTGCGTGAATACAAGCGAGCTTTCAGCAAAATCGAACAAAACTGCAGAATTCAGGCACAGTTTTTTTATGATTTAGACGCGTAATTAAAAAGTGTGTAACTTGTATGATAATATTAAAGGGCTGGCAAACGCTACTTACTCTAAAAGCAATTTTCGATGACAAAAACCATATATTACAAGAATTTTCATTTTCTTATCGAAGCTTTTTATCAATGCCTGCCACCCATAATGTGAATATGCACACGACATATGAGGCCACCGTTTTATCACTTTATATTTTCTATCTAATAAAAGTGAGAACTGTTGTGCATGTTCTAATATCGACAAGATTTAATTTAGAGATTGACAATTAGTTTCTACTCAAAACATTAAAGTTATGCACGCGTTTTTAAACGTGCTGCACGTTAAACACGTTTTAGCAAATTTTGTGTGAAAAATATTTTTTTTTCATTCATACCCGGCGATTCTTTCATATAGACCCATGCGTCTTAGAAAAGCCCGAATTACATCTAAATTACTATGTTTATGTTTCCCTTGCCAAAGTTAATGCTATTAAATCCATATGTTTATGGATGGATATTAGATATATATTTATTTTGAAAAAAGAAAGAATCTTGAGAGTGTGTAATTAAATATAAATTAACCAACTTAAGAGTTAAGAGCTAATTTTTATATATTTTCATGTATTAAAATGAATGCGATTTTCTGCTGCGCCCACGCATAATAATGGAATGGCTTTTTAAAGTTTTTATTGGCTTTTATTGCTATGTTTTATGAATTGATTACATTTGAATTATTCATTGCTATAAACCCATAAACTAGAAATCAACCAAAAACATATCAACACATGTGTATATTAATAAATGGTCTGTATATTTATAGAACACAAGTTTTAAGTGTGAGTAAATAGTAACTATTTATATAGATAGATATTTGAAGTGCGAATATTTGTTATGTAAGACGAAGATGCATGCATGCATGCAATGTGTATATGTATTTGAGATGAAAATTTCGCAGATATTCCCGGGGAAAGTCAGAAAGTGGAAAACCAGATGAGTACACAGACACAGAGAGACCGTATGATTGATTATATGCATGCTGTATTCAAACGGTACCCGCAAATAAAAGCTTTGGGAGCGCAACTCCACCGAAAATCTGTGTGCCGTGAATAAGGCGAGCTTTGAATAGAATAGGGCTTCTCATGTCAGCTAAAGTAGGTGCTCAGGCTCATTAAAGGCTTCAAAAAAATAACTCCTCGGTTATTTGTATTCACATTTTTCTATCTGATTATACGACTAATTCATGTGCCTATTCAATATTGTTATTTGGTGTTTGCGTGCTTATATGACAAGAAAACCTATAGCTTATTACCTGAAAAGAACTTTTTTGAAAGCTCCTGACACAAAAGTCCACACAAGGGAAGTGTGTAGAACAATGGTCCAAATTTAGCTGAATTCAGTGGTCGGTGAACATAATGGAAAGTGACCAGAAACCTATCTACGTGAATGACTTGATTAGCTACTCGATTTCGGCTGCTTTTAATCCACATAAATATACGTTAGTGGTAAACAATGATGCTGCAAGGCCAGACGAAGAAAACTTTTGGGTCAATTCACGTCAAGAAAAATAAATAATGAATAGAATGATGAAGTGAAACGATATGCTAAAGAAAAACGGCACAGACACACACTCATTATTCCAAATCTAAGAATCAGATATAAATGGATGGAACGAAAAAGTAGGCCAAGCGCTAATTGCGTTTTAAAAGATTTTTGAATGCCAAGTTCTAGTGAGAGCTTGATAAAATCGCGTCGAAGTTAATGGAAAGGTTCTTGATAATCCCGATTCTTTGATGCTTATTTTTAATGGACTTTCATGAGTGGGTTTCGAATTAAGAAAACAATTTCGTGGGTCCACGTCAACTTTCAAATTGAGTCAACTCCAAAGTAATCGAAAACTCTGCGGGAATTTCGTATAAAGACAACTGTTTTCAACTCTCGGTTATTAATTTTTCCATAACTTGTCATTTTTGCATTCGCCTCCTCGGTTGCTTTCAGATACAGAGCGCAGCCCTCGCAAAAACGTCTCTTTTCCTCATTAATGACATGCTTGGCGACAAACACTAATGAGTTTTATATATTTGCTTCAAAATTTCGTACAAAATAAGGGATGAGCATGTCCCATAATTATGCCTGATAAATTATTAATGAGACTAAAATATTGTTGCTCCAATAAATCACGCAGCTCCCCAAGCCCCTTCCATATAATGTTAATATTTGCAAGGCAAATATAGCACGGGTTCATGTGTTTACACATCAGCATAAAAACAAGGGTTGATGGCGAAAAATGACTGTGTACTGAAAATGAGCCAGTAATTGGCAGTGATTTCTCATCAAGGATGGTAAATATGAAGAGAGTCATTTATAACACTTTAGGGCTAATAGGAAGTCAGCGCCAATATTTAATTAGAAAATCTAAACAATGCCTGGATCAAGGGTTGCCATTTACTTTTCATTTTCTCATGTGGGCTGATAATGCTAGGATCCATCACCGTAGAACGTTTAACTAACATCAAAAGCCCGCTTGGTTTAATATCCATTAAAAGTATTCTATACCTACATTCTTCCAGGATTTCATTTCCCTAAAAATACCGCCTAAAATAGTTTCCGCAATTCTAAACGTGCGAATTTTATTAGATCCCCGTGCTTGTGAATGTCAATTTGGTAGATGTGCTATTTTTAGTTCTACTATTCCGAAAGACGGCAGAGAAAATAAAACAGATAATGGACAACGTTTGGATTCTAAAGCTCTCGTATATCCAAAGAAAGTCAAGGCTGTATCTTAAGAGTGGATATATATCTACTTATAAATAATACTTGATGGGGAACATGTTATCCACTTTTTCCATCATGTTTTCTATCGAAATCTCAATTAACTTTTTTATGGTTTTCCTATTTTACAATTTTCTCTTGCCAACAACTTGAAATTTTACACTCAAACCGCTTACTGAGAACCTCACTGCCATTAAATCGTTAATCGCACTTGATTATTAAATTATTCTGAAAAGCGCTTTTGTGAGCAGTATGGATATTCCCAGCAGATTTCCATGTGTCTAACGCTCAATTATTGTCGATATATCGCAGACATGCAAAGGAAATATACTACTAATAATCTCTTTGTTCCGACTTGATTTACACCTGTTGCTATATGTGAATGTTTCATTTGCTATGAAAGCTATTTTTACCAAATCATATCCAGCGTGATTGCTTTAAAATTCGCATTTTTAGGCACGGAATTGATTGGATTATATTAGCAGCCACTCAGATTTTTGACTCAATTGAATTTGTTAATTCGGAAACCAAACAACAAAAAAGAATAAAATTATTTTCAGTAAAAACATAAAAAGAGCATTATGCGATTGAGTATAAAAGATGGATGATATTTTCAGAAGTTTCTTTATAACTTCTTCCGAAGTCAATCCTATTCAGTACGGAAACCCATTGTGTACAAATTGCAGTATTAAGTTTTCATAAGGTAGAGTTGAAGTGATTCGTCGCAATCCAAGCATTTCGAGGTGAAATACCAAGGGACTTTCAGGCTGAATTCATTTTTATATACGACATATTACTTTGAGGAAAAATAAAGTTTTGAGTAAAGCTTACGGCAGATTAGACTTGTCAGAAAGAGCCACTTTCGCTTTCCATATAGGTCAGAAAAGCTCCCTTATGGTAACGCAACGTATTGGATTTAGGCTGGAAGACTGAAAGACAGAAAAATAAAACTTTTATTACCCAATTTATGAGCTTTAGCTGCTGAAAGCCGACCTAAAATACACTAGGATAAGTGTAACTTAAGTAAAGGTAAGATCTAAAAGGGTCTGGATAAATTCCTGCTGATCAGTAGGATAACGAGAAAATGTATACTTTGCGAATTTGCAAGAGGTGTGAGAGAGATTGTTTTTTGCATGAAAAACGACTGATTGATTACATTATTGCCCGTGTGATTCGAACAACAATATTGAACAAAAGTATATTTAGAATTATCCGATAGTTCCACAGTGAAAGCAATTAATTGGAAATAGATTATATTTACTTTCTGCGTAAAATGTCTATTTAAAATAGAACTTATTGATTTAAACTTTCTTCATGTAACGTAATCATCTCTATTGCCACTATATTTAGTTCGGTCCAAGCCATGAGAATTGAAAAAAAAAATTGCCACTTTGGAGCTGCCCTTTAACAATATCTAATGATATGTTAATAAGGTTGACTTTTTCCATTTGACTACCTTGAAAGGCGGCGTATTTTTCGCTTTTCCGCATTGCAGGAGGATTTCTATTTAAATTTTCTTTATCCCTTATTAATCGCGGCAATAATAATTAACGAGCTCAGGCTTTGGAATTAATCTTTTCACCTGAACTTATCTAGATGATCGTAAAGGTGAACTTTAATGGGAAAAGCTTATGGAAAATCAGCCACTTAAGCGACGGCCTATTTGAGCTATTTTCTAGAAGGTTTCTATATATTCTAACAAATTAGGACAAGGATCTGTGATGCGGGCACCCCATCAGTGTGTTCTTAATCCAATCTTCAGGATCGATCGAGATTGTCTAATTACACAGAACAGCTAAAAATATCCTGTTTAATCTAATTGTTTTTAAGGTGCTGTTTATAGGATGTAATCTATTCTTAGTTCACATTTTGAGCGTTGTGGTTAAATATTTCCTGTACATATTTTATGGTACAATAAAGGAAAAACTGACTGTTAACAATTGCTTGATAAACCGGTCAAAGTATAGTTCTGCAAGAGCCAAAAACGATTGAAGACATTTGAACAGCTCCACCACATTTTGAAATATTGTCATTGTTGAATTTTGCAGTTTTAAGTCATCGATGCATGTTTACGCAATTCTAAAATTAACCAAGCTTTAAACTAATTGTTTTTTGAGTTGATGTTTATTGGTTCGCATCTATTCATTGGGCTTCGCTTATAACCCGCTGATGTATTTATTGAGGAAATCTGTTATTGAAATACCCGAAACTCATCAACAATAGGAGGTGGTTAATGCTTTCGTACGAATCCAGTAATTGAATAATAGACGTGTAATTGAATGATGTGCAATTAATCAAATGCTGATTAGCATGGACCACTGCTTTCTAACTGAAATAATCAGATTTGAATGTTCCTTCATGTGAACTTCAACTGCAAATTTTTGAGTATTTGTGAAAATCGTGAAGTAAATTAGAGAATTTTTTTGCTACCTGCAGTGCAGCCGCTCAAATGAGTAATAAAATCCTTTCGTTTCTCTTTAAACATAAATACAGTAATCACTGTTTACCGCAGCAAACATTAAATAAACCCCATACTTTAACTTATAGCGGTGGAAAATCATCACGGTCATTAACTTTTACTTTCTGACATAAATTTGCTTTACTTTTTATATGAAAACCGTCTGCTTATTCTCGAATGCTTAAACCCGTTGCCCATTACTCTGCAACTGCATTAAAATTGAAATGAACTTTCTCATTGCTCAAATTTTAGAAAGTTAAAACTGAAAGAAACTGCTACTTGACTACCTGAAAATCGACTTTTCCGAATATGAAAAATGCCAGCTGTATTTATAGAAATCTAGTTATAATTTAAACGTTAGATAGTTCCGATTTTTTGCATTTGATCGAAGCTTTAACCAAGACATGAGCAAATGGTTGCGATGATTCATGCAAAATCAGACATGAGATCAAGTCGTTAAAAATGATACTCTTTCACAAGTTTCCTTAAATAAAGTTTATCGCCAGACATAAAATAAGCAACCCATACTTAAACGTTGAAATGCATGATTTTGTAAACAATTTTTGGAAATTGTAAAGTTCGTCAAACAACTGTTCTAAAACCGAATCCATGTTTATAGCGTTTTCATTGCCACCGGGAAATTTTATCTATAATTTTCACTCTTTTCCGGATGTTTATGTATCCATTTATAACGGTCGGCGCCCGATGAACTTTCATAATTTCTTTTCAAATTTAAAAACTAATATTTAGCATAACGCACTCATTAAATAATATTATAGCGATTTTACTACAGACGTTCTGTTAGTTAGTCACAAGTTTACATCTACTATAAATATACATGAATTACCGAGTATTCGCTCTTTTGAGAACGAGACTGACCTAGGCTATTATAGGTTCCAAAATTTATAGATAGGTAGTGAAACTTTATAAATATTTTGTTTGAAAATTTTGCCTTAGAAATTAAGTCATTTAGGCAATGGTTTGACAAACTGTTGGGTTGCGGGTTATTAGGCCGACGTCTGTAGGAATTTGGCCCTAACGTTGATTTGGATCTTCAGAGGTTTCCTCGCATTGTGGGCGAGCAAAATTATATTGGTAGTACAGGGTGTCTGTAAAATGCCTGTACAAAATCCTACCAAAGATTATTGAGGTGAAAACATGATAATTTAATCTAATTTGCCTCATTTAAAATGGAAGGTTTTGCAGAGCCCCGTCAGCGTCCTCTTCAATGTGCATAGAAAATGTTTACGAATTATAATTTATCGCCACGTTTAAAAAAGGTTTTTTTTCGATTTTTTAGTCTTGACTTTGACACCCTGTAATTTGATACCGTCCACTTTTGGAAGAGATAAATTATGTTAAATTATGATATTTTCACCCCAGGAATCTGTGGTAGGATTTTAGTCAGACATTTGTAGTGAATTGCGATAACTCTCAATACCCCTGTATATTACTTTCGAAAATGCATTATGTGGATTGGAATGGGTGCACTTTCGAAAAGTTCAAGTGTGCCTTAAGATTTGATGGAATTGTTCAGATAACTTACCCCAAAGTAGTCATTGTGACAATGGTGTACCAAAAAGCGGCTGGAATGGAAGTGAAAGTCTTGCCCTCATTTTTCTCGGCATAGAACATCACGGTGGCGAAAATGATGATGGCCATTGCCAGTGAGAATACTAGGAAGCCAAGTTCGGAAGCGCAAGATTTAAGCGTATAACCCAGGATGCGAAGACCCTGTGAATGTCTGGAAAATTTGAAAATTCTAAAAACGCGGAAAACTCTTAAGGTGACGAAAGCTCCGGAGACGTCGTCATTGTCAGTAATACCTAGTCCAATATAGTAAGGTAAAATAGCCACCACGTCTATAATACTCATCACAGATCGCACGAACTTGTAACGGTTTGGAGCAGCAAACATTCGGAGCAGATACTCAGCAGTAAATATCATAACGCATGCAGTGTCTAGGCAGAAAAATACGATTTTATAGCGTTCACCACACGGAAGAGAACCAGCGCCTCCTGGTCGACTACCACAAGGCACCGTTTCTACAACATTGGCCATAACAGAAACTGCGATGAAAAATCCAGTCACGTAATAGAAGACCAGAGCAGCGGTAGAAGTATGGGGGTTCTCAAAAGCTCTCCACATTTTCTGTCTAATATTGGTCAGCTGCTGCAAATGCTGATCTCCATTTTCAGACAATTTATCATCCATGAGTCGTTCAGCATTTTCGCGCTTTCGGTCTCTATAATCTTCATAACAACAGTCCCCGATAACATCTGGAAGAATGCCGAAGAATGCCAGCTCTTCGTCGTAGCTGGTCAAGCATTCGTGTTTGGGGTAGTGCAGTTTACCTGTGCGGTAGTAATTGAGTATGTGACGAAAAATGTCAGGGTCACGGTCAAAGAAGTACTCTTTGACATCTTCATCGTAGAAGAACTCACGCTCGTTGGAGCCCAGCAAGGTGTCGGGGTATTTTTCGAGGGTGTTTCGCCAGGTCTCAAATCGCCGTCCAGAGACATTGATAAGGAGCTTTTCGTCATCTGCCTTTCTTCGGTCTTTGGGAATCGGAGGCGGCGGAAGAGGGTGAGTTGCGATGGGGACCCATCCGATGGCCGCCGCCCGCGCGAATGGCAGCCAAGCGGCGACCGAGGCCATGCTGTGCGGAGGAATGTTCGCTTCGCAAGAAGGGCCAAATCCAGCTGTGGGGCCCTCACCTTTTAAATACCCCTACTCACTCATCAGGCTCTTATGCAACAACTTCACTCTATCTGCAGAACGAGAGCAGCCAGATCACTTCACTCTGCTAGCTGTCGAAAGAACTTCTTCAGTTACCAGAGTTGCTCAGCTGATGGTATGGATGCTGCTACAGCTCTCCTCTTTGAAGTTGATCGCGGTGGGAAGCGCACCCTCCAGTCACAGTCACGAATCGACCCGTTGACCAATCACACAATTGTTCTTACACATATCAACAAAACCAGTATAAAAATAAACACAAGTTTATTTCAGTCACGCGGCCTGTACTCATGTTGCTGTTATTGTAGTTCGAAATACTGCTCGCTGCGGTCAGTGTGGAGCTACAGCCGCCGCGTCTAGGCCATCTTCCGAACGACGCCGACGCTCACCGACGCCGCGACGCGTTTTACCAGACGCTGATTTCACTGCACAACGCAACTCGTCTTTCTATCGATCAGGAAACGATATCTATTTCGTTAGTCGTTTAACACATTTTTCATTTGTGCCATTTTTCAGCGCATCGCGCCTCCTCCTTGCGTTTACTTTCAACCTCTTCCATGCCAACTTACCAGCCACACTCTCACTACTAACCCCAATCTAATTTTCATAAATTCAATTTAGTCTTTACACCCCAACTAAACCGAATTGTATACAACCACAGAATATTAACTCTTTTTGGTCTACATGAGCAAATACATCGCCTACGACCCTACAGCGGCTCTTCAGCTGCTCATGGTAATGTGGGTTGCAATAAAGTATCCAAAATATTTAGGAATGTTTTCATCACAGTGTAAGACAGTCTTAGTCGGAAAGCACGGGAGATCACTTCGCCCACTGCCTCATCGCCTTTGATAATGTCCACCGCAGTTGTGGACGAAACGTCAGGAAGAAATTCCCATAGACCACGGCTTCAAAGCCCGGAAAACATTCCTAAATGTGATTTAACCGGCCGTGAAAGCCTTCATAGTCTGATAGCCAAAATAATTCGAAATATGCTTTAAACTACAAAAATGCAACATAGAAAAATTCAAAGTTTAACTTTGGTGCCTTGTATGGTAGGTAAATGGTGACATGAAAATAAAACATAATTTTGTTGAAGAAGTATTTATTGAAATTGTAACTTTTGCTTTAAAATACAAAATAAATTAATGACCTGGATGAACCTGATGCGATGTTAGGAGTGTATTTATGTATTTATGTCCGGCTCAATGTTTGTGAGTAGCAACCGCAAATCCCCACGAGTACTAATTTCTGGTCGGTTTCTTTTTTTGTGACGACGCTCACAACGGCACTGAATCTACGATCTACCAGATCAGAAGCCGGAAAAGCGATTGAAAGCTTTTGTACAATATTCCATAGGTGATGGAAATTAAATTGCGATCTCGGTCAGATCCTGGTTTAACCATCAGTTTCAGCTCCAAATTTGTGGATAATTCACTGTCGCTCCGGTATTACTTTGTATTAATCTGCATTTGTGCCCTGAGTATGACTAGTTTCAAAAGGGTAAAAGTGCGCGAACCCCCTCAGGATGTTCAGGGACCCCAAAGATGATTTTAATTTCCCATGGGTCCCCTGAATGATGAAAAACCTAAATTTGGACATTTTTAATACCAATATAGGTTGAAGTTGTACGGGTTTCACTTGCAGCACAGTGATTATTTTGCCGGTTGAAGCAATTCTCATATAAAGCGGGATTTCTGAATCATAAAACGGCTGAAACCATCAGCGCTTGTTAATGCCGAAGGAAAAATGCTTAAAGCCGAGTGAGAATTCATGCACCATTCTGATTCTGAACCTCCTATCCTGCTTGTAGGCGAATACGCCGAGCCTAATCGATTTTGCCTCTTGAGATTAATTTTATGGAACATCCGAGCAGGAAAACTAAATTTCGAAATAGTTTGTTGAGTGATTAATCAGTCATCAATACGTGGAAAATGTACAGGTTTTTAGCCCCTATAAACCCCGTTTTGAGCCGTTTTTTAATTGGTTCTGTGAGGGCTTACCAATGACGTGCTCCAAAACCTACCCATTTAGCCAATCAAATATCTCACATATATTTCTAATTTAACCAGCTTTTCTAAATTAATACAAAATCCCAAGTTTGAAAAGTACTGGTTACAGTACAAGACTAAAGTTTCAATAACTCCATGAAACTCGAGGGTAAATCACTGGCATATTCCTATTTGAACCTGCGAACCTTCCTTTTACAAAAAGTTACCAAGGCAAATTGAAACGCAAAACTATTCTCAATTAGTTCTTTAATCAACCTATACTTCTACATAATTAATGTGTGTAGATTTGTGATGCCACTCTACACTGGGAAATGGATATGGTATTGCCATTTTTACACGATTTCTATTGCACTAAAATTAAAATTACATATTGTTCGGTAAACCGTTGATGAAACAATGACTTGAACGTTACCTTCAAACCGGCGTTTTTTCAAGTGAAGTAACTTTGATTTAATCAAGTAAAAAAGTGCAGGTGCAAAAATCGTATAAAGCATTCTTAGACACAATTCAAAATTTATTATCAAAACCGTCAACGACTGTCTTATTTACAAGCCATGGTAGTGTCTATTATTAAAGATAAAAAAGATGTTATGACACTGTGCTGGATTTACAATAAATGATCTTTACCGTAGCCGCTAGTGAAACCATTGTCAATAAACTGCTAACGAGTATTATAAAGTTCTTCACTAAAATTGTCGAAACAAGACTAGAATCATTGTGTATTCGAAACAAATTTCCTATTTCCTTGTCGATTTATACAAATTCTACAAGTACAGAATCAATATGTCTTTATAGAAAACATTTGAGTTAAAATAGACTAATAACTCATCAAAGTATCAATAATTGAAAAAAACAGAAATTTGCTTCGGTAAATATGTACTAGAAAAGACCACAAGCTTCCACGTTGATAATGAAGCGAATTCTATGAATCCGATCTAATTAAACCCGAACCAAAACTTTTAAGAAAACATTCTAAAACAAGTAGGATGGTTGGATGGTACTTACGTAAAATCCACAGGATTATTTTACGTGGATTGATTATGGCTCTTTGCAGTAAAATTAGTCCATGACCAGATCTACACATGTGTAAAATGAATACATTAAGGTCGTGATTTTAGCTTTCTTTTGCCACAACATTCAAATGAGAAGTACAAAAGTAAGCAAGGTGTTTGTGAAATGGCTGTACAAGGTAATACCAGCTGAACATCGCTATGTAAGATTGCTTAAATATATGGAACTTGTAAAAATTAAGCTTGATGATTCAATAAAGGAATGATTGCTTCTCGTAATAAAATATATAGGAATTCGGATTTGAAAATGCGCTCTAACTGAAACAGAGCAACCTTAGGTAGGATGAGCCTCCGTTTGACGTTGTACAAGCATTAGCCAATCACCACGTTTAACCAAATAATCCAGTAGCAGTAGATTTAGTAATTCTATCCATTGTAAAAACTGAAAGGCAGATAATTTCCTAGAAGTAAGAATAAATTACAACATTTCATAGCAAAAAGTGTTCCCAACAATACTAGTTATTATATAAATATTTTTGTTGTCGATTATGTACAAAGATTTTTAACAGTTCTATATAATGTCCTATCACTGTCACGTATTTAACACAATAATAAGATCACTGCTAATCTAAATTTAATTTAAGAATTGAAGTGACTTAAAGGCGAATTGAATTCAGAGGTCACAGTTTGCAAAAGTAACTGGCCGAATAAGCAAATTAAAAGTGAATCGCTTGGTTGTGTCTGGGTTGCATCTTGATTTCCTATTTACTTACAATTCTTGTACAATTGCATTTACAAATGCTTATTGAGAAATTTGCTGTTTGTTATGGCAAAGATTCGCTCTATCTGTCGCCGATACATAACGCATAAGTTAATTTGTACATTATTATTCATCTGCATCTGTATTCCCTACAGAGGATTTCATTTGTGCTAAAATATAGTTTTTAGTTTTGTTACCAAAATATAGCGATATTGATATACAATTACAATTGATATACAACCAAAGTATACAGTTTTATGTAGCATTTTTGACTGATCCGCTGTTATGTCTAAAGTTTCATCACAGATCGAAATTAAAATCAAAAATTAATCATAAACGAATCGAGTCAGAATTTATTGAAGTGGTACTATTCAGATCAAGTTTAATCACTACCTATCTAAAAATTATAAGTTATTACACTTTACACCAAGGTCCGACAAAATCAACAAAAAATAATTATTTACAGCTAATTCATAATCTAACAGATGTGTTTGTATCAAAAACAGCTAAATTTTAAATAAGCTTGGAATGTAAAAATCCTATGCTAAACTAAGTAATTCAATCAAAATAATTCTATAAATAATGCAGAAATTACAACCAAACAAAAAAATTCTAATTTGACTCGCCAAAAATTCAGTTTATCACGTATAATGATATCATTTGATCCACAAAGTAGTTTTTGCATCAAAATAAGGAAAAAATTAAAAATTTTCGAAATAAATATCACAAAAATAATAAGTTAAAAAAAACTAAATAGTAAAAGTCGTTATATCACAAGGCCCCTAATATTAAAGCCGAAATTTCGTACTGAGGTGATTCCGACTTCATCAAATAAAACAAATCATATCTGTACAATAAATAAATAAATAAATAATTCAAAGGAACTTGTTAAACAAGTAAAAGTAATATACACGTATAAAAATATTGACTTAGAAAATATGGCAGAAATTATTCCGGACTGTATAAAATGGACTGTTGTTGAAAATGTTGTAAACTAAACATGATTTCACTACAAATCACAAGTGAACGGTGTTCATTTTTTCGAAAAACCAAATTGTTTTTTCTGTAAACTTGTTCTGACTAGGTTCAAACGCACATGTGACTTTGATTGATTTTTAATAAGGAGGTTCTAGTCGATTAGTGCGACTAGAAGCGAATTGAATTAGACGAGTGTTTCCCAAACTTGTTCGATAATGGAACACTTTGCAAACTGACGATTTTTTATGTGTTAAAATAAAGTTGATTTCTACTCAACTCAACTCCAAAAAAAGACGTTCAACATTTTTTATGAGTATAACGTTCTTCCACGTTATTTTAACATCTAAAAGAAGGTCACAAGGAACACTAGTTCACGTTCAACGAACAACGCGCGTGTTCACGAAGTTCCGCGGTACACAGTTTGGAAAACTCTAAATTAGACATTAGAAGTTATGATTTTCGCAATAAGAAAAGTTACAAAAGATTGTCATAATACTGGGGGGCAAATGCGCAAAATTATATGAAATTTGATGTGAAAAATTTGATTTAAACCATTGAATAAGTCAAATACACAATTATTATTTGGTGAACCTACACAGCTAACT